TGTAGAGAAAATTCGTAATCCAGGGTTTTTTACCAGCGATTTCTTTGTTTTAAAATAAGAAAACCCAACATTATTATTTTATGAAAAGGTGTGCACATACATGTATGCATTAAAAGTCTCGACATTCAGATATATAAACCACGTATAATCAATTACCAATGGTCATTTGCATTCACATGTCGACATGATATATCCCGGTGAGCTCAAAATAAAAGATCTCACAGAGTCTCAAGCATCTGTTTTATATATGGAAATTGTAAAACAAAAAGATTTTAATGATATTCTCACAACCAAGCTTAATGAGAAACGTGATGAATTTAACCTTTAAATCGTCAACTTCCCTTACTTGTGTAACAATATACCCTTATTACCTATATGGCAGGTTTATTACTCGGTTGAGACGATACACAGGAGCATTCTCTACGTATGAGCATTACTAGAGAAAGGTATTGACAAACAAGTTGATGAAACAAGAATAACAACAGTCTCGTTTAAAGTCACCCAGTAAATCTTAGGCATACTACTGTTTGTATTTGTTTAATAATTCATTTTTTGTAACTTTTCATATTTCCGGTTCATATACTGTGAACATTTCTACCAAATGGACTTTTCTTGTTAAGAACAGATTTTATTGACAATATATCAAGGGGATTTTATTACACTGCTGTTCGTACCTAAAGAAAGGTCTTTCATTAGGAATACACCTCTGGAATATAAAAGTCATAGTCATACTAATTTAAAAGTTATAATGCAATGTTAAAGTTTTAACGGACAAACAGACAAATAGACAGAGAGACGGCGGACAGGGCAAAACTATATCCTCCAAAACTTCGAGTGCATAAATGTTTTACAGCTTGTTTCGGTACATAGTCGATTTTTTTTCTCTCATCAGCCTTTAGGTGGTACATGTACACCTATGATTTGTCGCCGAAGATATTGCTTTTTTCGAAATCAAACTGTGATATGTTTCTGATTATTTAGGAAAACACCCATCCAGACAAAAAGACAGATGGACGGACAGGAAAAAACTATTTATCCCAGTCTCTTCGATTACGGAGGCAAAAAATGTTGTATAGATTGTGAAGGGTGCTACAAGCAATATTCAGAAAGAATTCAGAACTTACGAATTTTTAGGTGCAGCATCTACAATTAATTTCATGGAAATGTAACATTTTAAAATCCTTAAAGCCCTCTTTTAAAATTACTAACAAAAGGAAGAAAAAATAATACAAAATGACGGATTTTGCAGTGTTGCCTGATGCCAGATCTCTTAAGAATGTAAGAAATCTTATCCGTTATCCATGCTTTCCCTTAGAGAATATAAACAAATATGATTTCAATGGTTAAACACTGTGCAAACACACCTTTCTTTAAAACGCATTAAGATCAGTATAACAAGAGGCCCAGGGACCACATCGCTCACCTGAGCAATTGGCTAGGAAAAAGCACATATAAGATCAGAACTCTAAGTTTACTGGGGGGGGGGGGGAGGGTTGAATTTTAATCTCAAAGGGGGTCACGATTTGAACTAACTAGAATCTACACTACCTGAGGATGATTCCCTATAAATATCACTAAGCATGGCTTTGAAGTACTTGAAAAGAAGAATTTAAAAGGTTTCCCAATATATTCCTATGTAAAACTTTTATCGGTCATTTGGCCCAACCCTACCCCCGGGGGGTCATGCTTTGAACAAATTTGAATCTACACAACCTAGGGATGATTCCACTGGAGTTTCATCTTTCCTGTCTCGATGGTTCCTGAGAAGAAATTTTTTCCTATATATTCCTATGTAAAACTTTGATTGGTCATTTTGGCCCAATCCTATACCCGGTGGTCATGATTTGAACAAACTTGAATCTAACTATCTGAGGTTGATTCCACAGGAGTTTCATCTTTCCTGGCCCAGTGGTTCTTGAGAAGAAGATTTTTAAAGATTTGTCCGATATATCCCTATGCAAATTCCTATGCAAAAATTTGAGGGGCCAATTTGGCCTCGCCCTACCCCCAGGGGTCATAATTTAAACAAATTTGAATCTACACTACCTGGGGATGATTCCACATGAGTTTCATCTTTCCTGGCCCAGTATTTCTTGAGAAGAAGATTTTTAAAGATTTTTCCTATATATTCCTATGTAAAAATTTGACCGGCCATTTTAGCCCCACCCTACCCCCGGGGGTCATGATTTGAACAAACTTGAATCTATACTACCTGAGGATGATTTCACACGAGTTTCATCTTTCCTGGCCCAGTGGTTCTTGAGAAGAAGATTTTTAAAGATTTTTCCTTTATATTCCTATGTAAAATTTTGATCGGCCATTTTGGCCCCATCCTACCTCCGGGGTTTATGATTTTAAAAAACTTGAATCTACACTACCTGAAGATGAATCCACGTATGTTTTATCTTTCCTGGCCCAGTGGTTCTTGAGAGGAAGATGTTTTTAAAATGCCATTATTATTTCTCTAATTCATGATTTTCTCCCCTTGGGAAAGGGTGTGGCCCTTCATTTGAACAAACTAGAATTCCCTTTAGCCCAGGATACTTTGTAGCAAGTTTGGTTGAAATTGGCCCAGTGAATCTTGAGAAGAAGATGAAAATGTGAAAAGTTTACGACAACAACGACGACGACAACAACAACGACAGACGACGGACAAATTTTGACCAGAAAAGCTCACTTGAGCCTTTGGCTCAGGTGAGCTAAAAAAAGGTATAATTCTAGAAAAACAATGGTCAGTTTAAGAAAGTCATTTTGAAACTGTTAAAAGGATACATACAAGGATACTTTGAATATATAACAGAAAAAGCCATTGTTTAGAAATTTAACAAATATTTTGATTCTTGTACAGTATGCAATATTTTTTTTATGAATTCCAAGTCATGGAGAAAAAATTGTATTAATGCTGCAAATTATAAACATTTTCCATATCAGCAGTAACGGGTTCCTTTCTAAGTGACGTTGCAGTGGGTGGACTGATGTAAATATCGTCTGGAGACGAAAATGAAATCAAACTTGATTCTGTTTCCAACGCTTCCTCTTGGCCGTTTTTTTGATTTAGGTATATATTGATTTCTGCTGTATTGAATTTCAGTGAGCCTGCAGTATCTCTGAAATAAACAAAATAATTTGTATTTCAATAATAATGATATAAAGATTTTTTAAAGATATATATTTAGCTTCAGAAAAGGTTCACAGATCTAGAGAACAAAGAAAAGAAAAAAAGAAGAAGAAAGTATTGATATATGTTTTAATTTATCTTTATAATACATCTGAGGACATGTGATATGAACCAATCTTTACATTGAAATGAACTTCATTATGTTTTGGTTTAAAAAGTTATCAATAACACTAAAAAAATTAAAAAAAAATTATTTGTTACAATTATTATATACAACAACTGTTAAAATTAAATTGGGTCAAGCAATTAAACCTTTTGGTGTCCCTAGGAACAAAAATGTATATTGCTTCTACTGATTATTTTACCGAGAAGTGACAAGGTTTCGCATGTGTTAAAGGGTATTTAATGATGTAAATATCGATGAATATATCATAAACAAATTGAATGGTAACTGCTTGTAAATATTTTGAAATGATAACCTACGTGTTTGTGAATTTCCTTTGCAATACGACGCTTACAATGCCTACTAATATTAAAGCAACTAAACATCCAACGCCAATTCCAACTAGTTCAAGATTTGTTAATTTTTTACTAGTTTTATTATTTTTTCCATGGTTCTGTTGATTTGTCGCCAGAGTAGTACGTAATTTGGGTGAAGTTTTCTCGATTGCAGAATCAGTTTGTTGTGTCTCTGTTGGAATTTGTTTAGTATCTGAAGATGAACTTTGAACAGCAGCGTTTGTTGTTGGAAATGGAGTTCCAGAATATGTTTGATCTTTCGAATCTTTTGTAACTGAAGGAGAACTTGGACTTTGAGGGTATGTTTCTTGGTTGCTTGATGTAAGTTGAAAAGTTGTAGAAAATGAGGAAGTAGAATAAGGTTTGGCAGTTTCTGATGAATCCGATACTTTGGAACTTGTTGTTGGGGTTATGGCACCTGTTGACAGAAACATTGTAGACGTATATATATCTGTGCTATCGGTTTTCCATCCTTTTGAGGAAGTCACATAAAAGTCGTTGTCACTTGAAGTATTCACTGCATTTTCGGTGGTATGCATTGTCGAAGTTGTACATGCTGTAAAGAATGAAAGATACTTGTGCATTTTTTTTACTATTCAATCATAGGAAACCAATTTATTTAGATTTGCTTTAGTTTAAAGAAAGTATCCTCTTAATTGGAAATTATTTTTTTGATTTAAGACATTTTTTTCCATTTCATTGAAGGTAGCATTTCTTGGGATTCCTGGAGATTTTCATTCAATTAAAACCCCACAGAAGTTTAAAATATCAATACACTTTCTTTGAGTAAACAACTTAACAACAATACCATTAATCCAATCAAACGCATCTGTTATAGGGTCACATTGAAGACACGATGTTTTGCTTTTCATTGTATTTTCCTTGATGCAGGACCCTTTTATAAAACAATAATTTTTCTGAAATAAATAACAGAAGGAAAATAGTATTAATATTTTATTTCAATTCTACCCGCTTGTTACAGTTAAAAATTTTATAATCAAAAGATTCTTCAAACAGAAACGAGAGATACAAAATGAAATACTTGTAGGGAAAATGTTATCAATCCTGATTGATTGTGGAAGACTTGACATTCTGATTGATACACATGTACAGTAAACGTGTCAGTAAACTGTTTGCCGTCATTCGTTACATTGAAATCAAATTTCGTTATCCATGACTCATTAGTCTGGTACTGCAGGGTACATAGCGCTTCAAACAATGTTATTTCCTGTAGTGAAACTTGATAATGTGTCTCTGCTGCTTCTGGTCCAATCGAATAAAACTGAAATGTTGAAAAATTTATGGATATCGCACACTGTATATACAATGCAGTGTCAAACGCTTAAATGTATAAAAACGAATATCACACAGCGAAACTCTGAGATTCAGATATCTGAAAGGTGACAGAAAGCTAAGTGAAAGAGGCTGAATGAGAGAGTCCTGCCATTGAGTAACCTTTCCAGATACTTCAGTGACAATTCGCTAAATTGACTAAATTGCGGTATTTTATCTTATACAAAATGTTTTTGAATTTTTACCTCTGATCTCCTGATAAAACAGGATGACAACAAGTTCTTCACAAAATATCTTCCATAGATAAAAACGTTATCACAAGACTCTGTTGTCTTATCACAAAGGCCAAAGTCGGAAATGCGGGTAATTGTTGGAGGAGCAAACATGTCAAAGGAACAATCACTTCCGCCATATCCTGGATCGCATGTACAGTTACCTTTTTTGTGAGAGATGAAATTAAGTAAAGGCGGAACACTTAATTTTAAACCAAAAAATAATAAACATACAAATAAATAAATATAGAACCCAACAAATTGGAAACAATTGAAATCTTACTGTGTCATAAACATACAACATTTAAAATATCGCTCCAACAAACCATTATTACCTTGGTTGCAGTATCCCCTGTTGCTGCAATTTTTTGAACACAGCATTGATATTGTTGTTACTATTTCCTTTTTATCTGTCTGTAAGGTTGAATTGTAATAGATATATTCTTTGCACTGATCAAGAGCTGTTTCAACGTGGAGAGTGGTAAGGTTCTCATCTCCAGTCATCTAAGATAACATGATACTTCTAATTACTATGTTTCAATGTAAAAACATTAAAAACATACACATGAGTATAGGATGATGAGTAGATTGAACTTTTGAAATCTCATATAACAGATTGTTTATGCAGCTTTGAAGAAAGAGTATTTAAAAGAAACAAGTATAATCTGAGAAGATAATAAGAAGTCATTTAATAATGGCAATTCGGGTCAAACAGGAGATTATCTGACATTTAAGCAAATACAAAACATGGTCAAGGATAACTAGCGTCACTCATAAGTCTTATATCTATATAGTTGAATGAGGTCAGTTGGAACCAACAAGAAACCTACATGTTTGATTATTTTTATTTATGTTCGCATGACATTTAATAGCAAAGGTTCCAAAGGACGTGTTTGTTTCTATTCTATCAAACTGCCTTATTTAACATTATATAACGCTCATTTCTTTGATATTTGATATCTTTCTTTCTAAATTTTATCAAATTAAAAAAAAAACGAACAAAAGATCTCCCTGAGGTCTGCGCAACAAAACCTCATCTTGTATTCAGTTTTTTAAAAATATTTATTTCTGGTTTCGTTCTGTTCCCCATTATTATGATCTTCAGTCCCTACAAGGTATATCTTATAAACTAGAGCCATTTAAAGAATTTATTTCCAAGAATGATATGTTACAGGACTTTCTTCAAATTATATGAGAGAAGAAAAAATCCCTCTAAATCGGTCATATTCCTTTATATAAAAACTTACCATTATATCATTGATGCAATTTATAAAAGTCTCGTTGCCAAAATTGGGGACATTTTGTAAACAATCTTTATAATGTGCGGATTCCTGAAAGGCTTTTGTGCAGAGTGTTGTAGCATCTTCCTGTGATGTGAAAGCCTGTCTTTTTGACCTCTGAAAATAAAAAAAAAATCATAGGTATGCATTATTTAAAAGAACAAGTGTATGGGATATTTTTAGATCAATACCTGTAAAACTACATCATAATCAGGATATTTTTCATCTTGAAGCATCCGGATATCCCGTCTCCTTCGATTGCTCGTTTGTAAGGAGCAAGACATCCTTACTCCACGGCTATCTGTTTTGCAATTTTGATACCGTTGGTACGAGCACACAGGTCCTTTAACTTCATCGCAATAACACAGTTTGTAGGAATAGTTTGTCATTCCTTGTAAATTGTCATAAATAGATGCGTCATGTTGCAGTAAATCCTCGCTGCTTCCACTGGGCAATCTTAAAAAAAGTATTTGAAAACGTATTTCTCTTTTCAAAATTACTAATCTTGCATACATTATTCAGTAGAGAGAGAGAGAGAGAGAGAGAGAGAGAGAGAGAGAGAGAGAGAGAGAAAGAAAGAGAGAGAGATATTTACCTCCAAGATTTAGAAAAATTATCCGGGTGTTTGTAATAGTTATATTGTGATGGGTCATCTTGAAAACCATTCTTCCATCTTAAATCATTTTTTGGAATGTCATCCAGATATCCACACAGTCCACTAGTAGCGTTCTCATCCGATATTGTTGGATACACTTCCACATTAATATACCATGACATTAATGTGCTAGTCGTGCGCCAGTACTTATAGTTATACATATAAACTTTTAACGAAGTGCCAGTGGGAAAAATTACCTTAAAATAAATAAAAAGAAAGTTCAACAAGAAATCTTAAATTATTTACTTTTAATGAGACTGTTTTCTTCAAATTATAAAAAATACACCTGACCATATTAACTATTACCCTATACTTAAAGTCTCCGTCTTTATACACTTGCAACGATTTATCTTCACACATGGGGAAATTAATGAACTCTCTCCCACTGCAAAAGTCTAGGACAAACACGTCGCGGCCAGACCTTGCTGCTACAGCACAAACACATCGTGGAATACCCCAGCAACTACCATGCCGGACCTGAACCTGCAATGAAAGCAAAAAAAAAAAGCACATTATATAGGAATCAAAACGTTTATTTCATTTCAAGAAATTGAAAAAAAGAGTACTATTTTAGCTGTCAATTTAAAAATATGAGAAGTCTTAGAAAATCAAATCTCTGATTTTCCAAAGCATTCTTTTTACTTTTTAATTTCCATAAGTCTGATTTTTTAGGTGCACAGTTTGCAATATTATTGATTGATTGATTGATTGATTGTATATTGTTTAACGTCCCTCTTGAGAATTTTTCACTCATATGGAGACGTCACCGTATGCCGGTGAAGGCTTCAAATTTAGACCTATACTCGACACTCAGGGCCTTTGAGCAGTGAGGGTTCTTTATTGTGCCAGCGCCTACCGTGACACGGGACCTACGTTTTTAAGGTCATATCCGAAAGACCCGTGACTTTCACTTCTGATGCCGAGCGCTTGGCGAAGGAACAGTCACTACCTATTTTTACGTCTTAGGTTTGACGCGGCACCGGGAACGAGAATCGAACCCGGACCTCCCGATCACGAAGCGAACGCTCTACCACTAGGCTACCGTGAACGGTTCAATATTATTGAAAGAGAGAGAGCAATGCGAGCAGGAGAAGCTAACGTTCTGAAAAATTAAAATGAAATATGTGTATTAAGAATATTTTTCTGTGAATCTTTACTTTAATTCTTTAGCTTCAACGTTGTTTAATACTATAGCAAAAACAAGAAGTCTCTGCCGAGACTGTAGCTCTACTAGTTTATACTTATAACGAAGGAAGAGAAAATAGCATTTGTACTTGAAACTTTACAACAGCAATAATTTTTTAAATGACATCATCGGTTTAGTCTTTTTCTTGGCAAGACTATTGCAATCAGACCAAAACCGTAGGAGCAGTAGCCTTTAGAAATATTTTAGAGAAATTTCTATATTTAGTAACCATGGCAACATCATTCATCGAAATCGAAAATCAATATAGAGAGTAATGTTTCTTAGATAATATTCTACTTGTGTGACAATTCATATCGAAATCAAATCAAAATTGTAGGAGGAGTAATATTTTTGAAAATATTTCCAAGACGTTTCTGTTTTTGTAATCATGGCAACAACTTTCATCAAAATCAAAACATAATGCACTTAATTATGTATTTAGTCTAGTCTACTTAAGTGCCAATTTATATATAAATCAGGCGAAAGTGTAGGAGGAGTAGCATTTTGCAATCATTTGAAGAAAATCTATTTTACTAATTATGGTATTACCATTTATCGAACAGAGAACAGAATTATGAATCTAAGTGTAGTCTTCTTGTGTGCAGCGTTATATTGATATCAGACCTAAAACTGTAGGAGGAGTAGCAGTTTTAAAATATTTAAGTGAAATATCTATTTTGGTAACCATGGCATTACAGGTCCTCAAAATTAAAAACCTTATGTAATTAAGTGTGCCCCGTGTATTTGTTTGTCAGGTTGTATTGAACTCAGACCAAAACTGTAGGAGGAGTAGCATTTTGAAAAATTGATTACAGACTCAAGGAGGTCATTCGGTGCCCCTCGGATAATTCTCAGGAATATTAAACATATGTCACATGTACACTCTTCAGATTTCCAATTTTAGAATAAAACCAATAGCTCATACACAAAATTGAAAACAGGTTTCTATTACAGATATATTGGAAGGTTTCTTTTCCAATCCCATGTCTTCTGTTTCAAAATGTTCTGTAAAAAAATGCAAAACCTATGCCATTTTGACAAGAAACACTTCTTTCACAAGTAATCTTACTGGACAGAGCTTCTATACCAAAACTTGAGATAATATGAACTGCAGATCTTAATTCTAATGTTGTTTACAGAATAGAATGTTATCTGTGCGGACTTGATTATGTTGGTGAAACCAAGGGATCACTTAATAAAGAAATATTAGGTCATCGATTTCAAATAAATCAGGTTGGTCAGCAGCTTTTATGCAAACATTTTTATTTACCTGATTATTCTATTTTGTCAATGAAAGTAAGAATTCTCGAAAAGATTTAACACCACACAAACAGTCTTTCACTGAGTACACATTCCGTAGACATCGAGAAGAATTTTGGATTAGAAAATTAGGTACGGCCTTTCCCTATGGATTCAATGAGAATGTCCATAATATTGGAACTCTTTCCAGTCCACAGTGAAATAATGTAAATGTGATTGGGTTTTTTAACCATACACGGAGACATAAGCGTAATCATGGGCATCGACCTTACAATAAACCTTCAATACACGATGTCTCTTTTTATTCGTTATGTATACTACCTTAGGTAAATCAACAGTTAGGTCTACATCATATTCGCACCAAACTTTACTCTGTCCCTTTGAAACTTTTAAATAGTCATAAAAAGGACAAGGAAAGCCCATTTCTTTATTCCTCAGCACCAGAATATGACTCAGAATTGTGATTATGGGTATTGCAAATCATAGGCTTTCTAAACCCCCACGTTTCACTGAAGAAAATGCGGCTAGCACGATCCGTCTTTTCCTTAAACTTCAATATGCCAGTAAAGGAGTTGACGTGGTTAATATTGGTAATATTCTTAATCACGAAAGGGTCCAATCTTGTATTCCACCATATATCAAGTTAAAGATTACACCTTGTATTTCCTACATCGACTATTACTTCAATTTTTTTAATTACAAGAAAACATTTCATGGCCTGGCTAATGAGTATCAGAAAGATAATCTCCATCGTGTTCATGTTCTTGTTAACCCTATAACTATAGTCCTGCTGGACACGTTATTACAGGTGACGTAAATCTAGTTAATAATGAGGACCTTAGATCACTTGTTTAAAAAAGGTCCTATGTTAAAATCACGTATTAAAAGATTGATGGGCGATATCTTTTTAAACCGGAAAAGGTAGCCTAGTAGTAGAGCGTTCGCTTCTTGATCCGGGGGGCCGGGGTTCGATTTATTTTGGCGGCGCTGTGGCAACCCTAAAACGTAAAGATAGGTAGTTACTGTTCCTTCGCCAAGCGCTTAGCGTTAGAAGTGAAAGTCTCTGGTCTTTCGGATATGACCTTAAAAACGTAGGTCCCGTGTCATGGTAGGTGTTGGCACAATAAAGAACCCTCACTGTTCAAAGGCCCTGAGTGCCGAGCATATGTCTAAATATTAGGGATGGCAATTTGTAACCGGTTAATCGATTAATCGGTCGGAACGTTGCTAATCGGTTAGAAAATCTGTAATCGGTGTTTTTACACATCTTATAATTCAAAATATTTGGAGGTAATTATAGCTCTCCAGACTGAGACCGAAGGGGTAATTGGTCAATTCATCAAGTGTTAATCAATGTTTTTAAAACATCAAGCCGTTACCCAGATAGTCCTGTGGTTTTTTTAATGATATTAAAAACAATCACCGTTAAGCACTTTTAATTAAAGTATGTCTATATTTTGCCGTTATCTATTAAATTATATTACTGTAAAGAATGTTGTAAATTTTAAATAAAGTAAGTGTTCAGACATGGTTTTAATTATGGTGACAATGCTGAATTAACTTCTTCAACATCTGCGTTGGAAAATTATCCTTGTCTAATTTCTCAAGCAAGATTCATGATATTCCTAATTTTTTCTTGTCTATTAAAATCAAAATAAAATATACTCTTATGTACATAATATTCCCCGATCAAAATAATAAACAGAATGTAACTTCTAACGTCTTTTAAGCCATCTTGTGTGTATGAAAAGAAAATGTCAAAATGTATAGTTATATTGATACGACTAACCGGTTAATCGGTCGGAACGTTTTGCGGTTAACCGATTAGCAATTCTGCAATCGATTGCCATCCCTACTAGATATAAAGCCCTTCACTGGCATACGGTTATGTCTCCATTACATGTAATGGAAAATTCTCAAGAGGGACGTTAAACAATTTACAATCAATCAATCTATTCTTCTGTATTCAATAATCCAAAAGTGATAATTTTTTTTACAATTTTTACAATTTGATACTCGTAGATTACATGATCAATACGTACTAGTCTCCGCTGACAAAGCAGGTAACAGCATTGTCTTCGTTTGTAAGGCTCATTATATAAATTGTATTTTAGAAAAACTTGGATTTAATTCTGCAAGTGGTAATTTAACTTATACTCATAGTTCCCTTACTAAGGAGTAAATACTGCAAAATCATATGTCAGTTCTGAATAATTTTAATATCCTTAACAATCAAAATGAGTTTGAACTACCATAGATATATATTGGATTCCAAAACTTCATAAGAATAATTACAAAGATACATAGCGGGTTCCAGTAAATGCTCAACCAAGGCTCTTTCTTTACCCCTCACTAAGATATTAACAGTAGTGAAGGAGAAACAAGAAAGTGATGTAAATCAGATGTGGATACTTAAACATTCCAAGGAATTTTTGGACTATTTGAAATCACAAGATTTTACCAAAATCAACAGCTTAAAAATTTACGACTTTTCAACTTTATACACACAACAATTCCCCACAATAAAGTAAAGTCAAGGCTTTTTTTAATCATTGGCAGCTGCTTTACTTACCTTGTCATTGGTCATTTGCAAAATTATTTTGTTTAAAACATTTTTATTGTAAAGTACTCTGAATTTGACATCATAAAGATGCTTGAGTTTCTGATTGACAATATCTATGTCGTTTTTGGAGGCCAGGTATTCCAACAATCTATAGGAATTCCCGTGGGTACCAATTGCGTCCCGTTACTAGCAACCTATTTTTGTATTCATATGAAGCGAAATTTGTCCAAAATCGTATTCGTGAAAAAGAGGAAACACTTGCTGTGACCTTCAACTCGACATTTAAATGTATATCGACGACGTATTGTCAATTAAAAATGGTCAATAAACATTTTTATGTCGATACGATATATCCCGGTGAACTTGAAATAAAAGATAACAAATGTCTGATACTTGTTTTATTTGGATATTTTACTTGAAAAGGACGTTAATGGTGATCTAACAATCAAACTCTATGATAAACGTGATGACTTTAACTTTTCATTAGTCAATTTCCCTTACTTATGCAGCAATATACCTTCATCAACTGCATACAGGATTTATATTCCAAGTTGATTCGATACGCAAGAGCATGATCTACGTATAAACAATTTCTAAAACGAGGTAAATTATTGAGAAACAAGTTGATGAAACAAGAATTTCATCTGTCTCCTTTAAAGTCATTTTGTAAGTTCTATGGTCGATACAATGGCCTTGTCAGCAGATACAATTTATCATTGAGTCAAATGCTGACTGACGTTTTTCATACTAATTGTTAGTCCATCATTTATTTATGTCTATATTTTTCATAACAGACGGATGGACAGACAGCTAGACGGAAGGATGATGGGCATTTTAATATTGCATAAGCTCCTTTAGTCCACGAGTAGAGGTAAGAAACAGATGTAGATTGTGTATAAAAAATTAAACCTAGTTCTTCGAGAGCGGTTAAACGAAACAGAAAAATAATGATTGCATTTTTTCTTCAATACCTTTCATAAAAATGATATAAAAAGGTCCATTTAGACTCCGTCACAAGAAAGAAAACGTACAGAAAAATTATGTTACGTCATAGAATAGAAATGCATGAAGAGACGAATCAATGTTAAAAGTATAAGGTGTGTGAAGGATTTTATGATGCACCATTTTCGCCCTAACTGAGAGACTATACAACATCTAACAATATAATTTGTATAATCCTGATTCTGGGTACTCCGATTTTTTTTTCATTTGAAATCTCATAAACTTTGTTTACAGACAATTTATTTAAAAAAAGTACTATCTATTCAGTTAATAGTTTCTAACCATATTCTCCAAACACCTCACATTATTCATAATCACTGGATGAAAAGTCTAGTTTCCGCAAAACTGAAACTATGCGGAAACCTTGCTGAAACTTGGCGTTGAAGTTTCCTGTATGGTTTCCGCAATGCGGAAACTATATAATAGTTTCAGCAAGTTTCAGTAGGGTTTCCGTATACTGAAACCATTAGGTTTGTTTCCTAATAGTTTCCGCAAAACGGAAACCAATGTAAAATTTTATGAAACGTCAATTTAACGATACGTTTTAGTTTCAGTTGGTTTCCGTTTCCGGAAACTATTAATTTCGATTCCATATGGTTTCCGCATGCTGAAACCGTACTGAAACTTTTTCTATTTTTTTTTTTCAAAAGGGTAGAAAAATCAACTCGTATGCATATGATCTTTTTACTATTGATTTCGATTCCATATGGTTTCCGCATGCTGAAACCGAATTGAAACTTTTTCTCTTTAATTTTTTTTCAAAAGGGTAGAAAAATCAACTCATATCATCCTTATATTTATTTACACATTTAAAAAATGGTTTTATTTTTAAGATATTTAATAGTTCATATTCAGATTTTGAGATGTGCCTGCTCTGTGTAAACTTACACATACCGATATTGATATCAATGATAAGCATATTATACAAGATCTTTGCTTCATATTAAATGTATAAAAAATGTTTATTTCATATTGTGTCGGAATTCAAAAATATTATTTTTAAACAAAATCGATTCCTCTCACAAGGATTTTCTACATTCAACTCAATACCCCCCTTGGGAATTGATTATTTTGAAAACATACATCATTTTCACAAAACTACGATTACGTTTCATGTAAAGTTGTTTAAAAAGAAAATTAGTGTGTCTTCATGGTGCATGAAATACAGATAATTACGAGATGAACATAATCTGAGATAGAAAGGTTTGCATTTATATTCTTTATACATGTTTCTATATATATTTTCCTTAATGAATATCATTTCAATAATTTCAATTTGTTAACAATACATATTGACTAGGAAGCCTTTTTTACTATTCATATATATATAGTTCAATAGTTACATGCACTAGTTATTTTTATAATAACATTGATTTAATATCTACATATATGTATTTTTATTTCCGTCTTCGTAAAAACATTTTATTCGTAAGCCGCGGTTTTACAGCATTAAAAAATGTCCTGAAAATTTGATGTCATGGTTCCCAGGATTTGCAGCATTTTATGTCAATCTGATTAAAATTAATCTTCCATTTGTTCCCCAAATGTTTATTTACACGAGGAACTCTTATATGTAAAAAGTCTGCTTTTGTGAAACAATACCCTGGGAGCGAATGGAAAATCTCAAAATTTTAATTAGATTGTATATTATGTGTAGGCTTTTTTTTTTTTAATTTTGTTTTATTTCATACATCTTGCTTTCGTGATGTTAATTAATGCAGTATCACTGAAAACGCGGTAAAATTTTTAGTAATATGTTCAATTATATTCGTATTGAGATGTATAATGTGCTAAATATGTGATATAGAACTCAGTGTTTTTTTTTTAAATAAAATTAAAGTAGTCTGTAAGTTGATCAAATTTTCAATTCTTTACGTTGAACCCCACTCGCGGGCACCTGTCCTCACGTGCCACAGATGGGGAGACACGTGTCGCGAAGACACCTGCTACCGTGTTGGTGTATTTTTTGTATATTCTATGTGGATTGAGAGGTTTTTCTACCTTAGAGGAACAATGGACTGTGACCAGGCGTAATATATATACACGCAGTACATGGTATACACAACTAGCCTTTTCTAATGACACCAAGGTTTCTGAACATTCAAAATTAAAAAAAAATCACACTATATATAAAACTTCATCTAAAATCAAACATGTCATATGTATAATGTGTTATGTAAAATATTTCATACAATGTTTCATATTCAGCATAAGAAGTTTTTATTTTATGTGTTGGTGATTAAAAGAAAATAGACAAACCTCTTAAATATTTATCTATCAATCTAATATAATAAAATTAACATATTGGTAAGGAGAATATTTGCTATAGCTAGTTCAATAGACTATAATTTCAAAAATTTTAATATTATTTTACAATTTCTCCACAAAAAAAAAAATCGGCTATCACAAAAAGAAATCGACAATTAATGGTATTCCTTGATTGCCACCATTGTAAACTTCAAATATTGAAAATATTTAGAGGTCAATGAAACGTAACCTAATGAAAACTAAGTCTATTTTATTTCATAACTTTTTTCTATAGGTTATTTCTAAGTACATTATATTAAAACAACGTTTTATTTCTAATTTAGAGTCCAAAACAGAAAAGTGTGAGATTATTACAATAATAAGGAAAAAATAAGTCAATCAACAGCAAAACAATTATTAAAAGCAATTAATAATCCCGTAATATAAAGGAATAAAGAAGAATTTACATATGACATGTGTAAAGGACTATGACCACTTGTATTACATGATATCACACACCTCCTAACCTCATTAGCATAAATCGGAAGAATTCGGAGATAAACGTAATAAAATATCAACAAAATCCGTAAACGTCCGAACGGCTTTCCTCGCGAGAATTCAGCGAGACCAACATGCTACAGGTGAAAATCGAGAGAGAAATTCAACATGAAAAAAGAGGTAAAACTTTATGTTATCTCGATTTATAAGATTTGTAAATTGCAAAAAGTTGAAAAACAAACGTTTCTTTACCTGAAAAGTGAAAGTAGGTTTGCAGTTTCTTATTCTGTCAAGTGCTATTGCACTTGAAAGTGTCAAAACATCACCTCTCGATTTTGTAAACATGTTCATGATGTTTCCACGTGGAAGGGAGTAGTTGTGATGGTAAAGATTAACCCACATACATTGATTTAGTGAACAAAAACACTCGTAAGTAGAATTTCATTTATTTTTTCGATTACCTCTAGCCCAAAATGGCTAAATATTTTAGAGCATATTTGTCAAATGCTGTTAACTAAAATTGAAGAGAAAATGCAGGTGTGCTATAGTTCGTTCCTACTTGTAAGGTAGTCTACTATGCATGCATATGCAGAGTTACGCGTATAAAAGTCATTATTCTTACTTATCAATACCCAGTAATTTGTGAGAACCATATGTGTTTTTCAAATACCAAGAGACTAAAATTTAATTCTATCCGTACTCGTGTGTATGCACAAGAAGTTCTCCCGAATTTCCTCTACACATAAACATGTGTACCTGGATAAAGGATGCAAGGTTTGTTTACATTTGTTTGCAGTTTTAATAGTGTCAGCTGTTTATATCAATCATGAAGTGTCACTTGAGCCTATACTGATCAAAATAAGAATGTTACTTTTAATTTAATATCATATAGATATATATTTATGATTGATCAGATGCATGATGTCAATGCAGTAAATTCTCGCATACTTGTGTATATATCAGGTATGAAAATTGTCACCCACGTGGCGCAGTGATTAGAGCGTCTGCTCTAGAGTCGCGAAAGTAAGGAGTCAATCCTTATGTCGCTTAGTTCAAATCCCACTGTGGGACGTGGAGACTGGTCCTTGGATGAGACCATATAAACCGCTGTAGGTGCTGGCACAAAAATGATTCCTCCCTGCTCAAAGGCCCTCACCTTAAATTTGTAGCCCTCCACCGGCAAGTGGTGGCGTTTCCATATGAGTGAAAAATTTTCGAGAGGGACATTCTAAACAACATACAATCAATCACATATGCAGTTTATGAAAATTTTGAAT